GTGCCCTCGATAACAATCTACAAAAATTCTCTGCGGTATGTTTCTAGCTCATACCTGGTAAAAATATTTAAAAAATTTTTTGTACACTATAGATGATTGCGTATCTACAGAAATTATTTTTGAATGTAGGTGCATGTGTGTCATTTTTACGGTGTCAATAAATAACTGATTGTTTAAATAGAACATCCTGAATATTTTTACTTGTTTCGATGTCATTTGTTAACCTCTCCATGGAAACCTATTCACTTTTTGGTTTTTTTTATCAACATAGATATCTTAATTTTCCTTAAAATTCCCCATAAGCAAGTCACACTTTGATGAATCTTAGCTACCTTGATCTTGAAGTTAAGAAATACATTTGATCAGGTGCCACATAGTTTTTAGGTTATTCAATATTTTTTTACAAAAGTACTTGGCCATTAATTAATTACATATTTATACACCGAAGTAGGCTGCCATAATAAAAATCGAGAATTCCATAGAGTAATAACAAGTGTCACAAATTAATTATTTTCTGCAAAGTGTGTTTCCTATTTTGTAATAAAATAAGATTAATTAAGGCGAATTTCGAAAAAGATGAACTAATTTTTTTAGATAACCTTATTTTACTACGAAAAAAGAAGGACACTTGCACCAAATATTTAATTTGTGACACTTATTACTTTTTGGCATTCTTTTGTTTTTTCTTATCACAGCCTACTCAGGTGCAGTATAAACATATAGGTAATTAATTAAAGTGAAAAATATTGAATACCCTAAAAACTACGGCTTTTAAGCACAGGACTCCTTATAACTTTCTCATTATCAAAGTGTTGCCCTTTACCTATTCGGATATTGATCAAATGTATTTCTTCACGTCAAATTCAAGGTGGCTACGATTAATCAAATGAGGCTTGCTTAAAAATTAATAAGATGGCAACGTTGACAAGCAACCAAAAAGTGTATGTAGAAGACATTAATGATATGGAAACAAGTAACATACAGGCTGTTCTATTTAAAAAAATCAGTTATTTATTGACACCGTAAAAATGGGACACCCTGTACATTTAAAAATAGTTTCTGTGGATGCTCATTGCGCAACCATTTATAGTTGACACTTGCACAAAAGTTTTTTATATTTTTTACCAGGTATGAGCTAGGAAGGACCGAATCACTGTTGTGGGACCTTGTATGAAGAGAAGATAAGTATGTGAAGCCTGATCAATACTGGGATTTACTAACCGAAGGTTTTGCTCCAATTATAGGCAACACATTATACAAGGACGCTATTAATATCTTCGAAGTATTAATAGCATTTGTTATATATCATATAATTTTGAAACGGGAATGTTAATCGGTTGAAGGAGAACTGTGGCAAAAGTCATACTTCTAGGGTTCGATGTAATCAGGATGTCCGGGCTTCTATCTTCTTATACCATTGTTCTATATTCTATAGCATAATGGTTAAAGATTCGTAATTGCTTAATCCAGTGAATCCAACCATTGGATGGTGCGCCATCTCTCCTTGGTAAGTTAAGTCACGTGTCGGGCAATTTTTGGCTGACAGATGACAGGTGTAATTTATTTGTAAACGGTCATAATTAAAGACGAAAAATTAAAATTATAACGAAAATGGCAAGCAACGAATCTTCCACAGGCAATTCTGAATCAGATTTACAAACTCTTGCCTCAATGTTTCAAGAAGGTTTAGATTTGTATAACAATTTAGGAAAAATTGATGAGCCTACAAATAGCCCTTTGGTGCAGGTAAGGGTTTTATTTCTTTAAGCTTATTTATTTAATTTTTACATTTCTTACAGTCCAATATTAAAAAAGCTATACATATATTTGAAAATGCAACTCGCCTTGTATCACTGGCTGGAATGTTTAGTTCAAACGAAAGTGTCGATGAAATAGCCACAGAAGATTTACAATACATGTTATTACCCGCTCTTTTAGGGGCATTATGTTTGAAACTCACTTCTAGAGATCGAAATGATATCACCCAAGTTTCCGAAGTGTATTACAAAGACTTTCTTCAGAGGTGCAGTGACTATGGATTACACGAGTTGAAACAAGACGAACCCGCCATGAAAAATTTAAGTTTGTGTGATTCTAAAGTGCCAGATGCAGATACGATTAAAACTTTTGTGATTACAAGGGCACAGAAAATCCAGAGATTTAAAGAACAAAAGGAATTGAAGTCTAAATTGGAAGATTTGAAAAAAAATTTGGCAAATGCGGATGAAGATTCGAAACGCGAATATTTTCTTACCATGATCAAATTGTTTATATTCGAAGCAGTCGATGAGTTAAGCTGTATAGAAGCCGAGAAGCAAATCTTAGAGATCCGTGCTAATATGGTTAAAGAGGATCAGCCGAAACCTAAAAGACCACCACCTCCTCCACTAAAGCCGGTGATTATCACTCGTGACAGTGTGCAGAAAGCGGTTTTCGGAGCAGGTTATCCTTCATTACCCGTGATGTCGGTGCAGGAATTTTACGAAAAGCGTGTCGCCGATGGAATATTTCCTGATCCTAGTGTAGCTAGCGAAAAACCTTTCTGCCTTCAAAACGCCACCCCTGACGATATTGCACTGAGAGATGAACACGAGGCAGCGGAAGCCGAAAAGAAAGTTGAGCAAGATGACGAGGATGAGCTTGCACGGCTGCGACGGAGAGACGAATTTAAGGATGAACACCGTCGGGGATGGGGTAACCGTATGAATCGTAGTTAAATGTTCTGCGACAGAGACAGATTAATAGATAAATTTAAAAGGTACCTGTACGAAGCTGTATGTATTGTGTACGTTTTCCTACATGGGGTGTAATATTTTGCATGGTCGGTGACACTCTAATAACTGTGTGTACATCTTTATAAGAAAGGGTCTGTAAATTCAAAACTGTTTACAATGTTAAGATTAGGTGTTAGTTCATTTTGAATTTTCCTGATCGTTTATTATGTAAAAGTAGCAAAAGGAAAGATCATTTAGAATGCATGTTGACTCTTGTAGTTTATTCTCTCCAACATAACCTGCAGACAATCCTTTGGAAATACTTTGAATTTTCCTGATGTAAGAAAGCCAGAGGGGGAGGGGGAATTTATCCTAAATCTTACTAAGACGTTTATTTTGTGTTAGAGGGGGAATTATAAAACATTATTTTTTTGACTGCTAAACAATATTTATATACAATTAAATAATAATTCTTATTTTACCTGGTGGCAGGAAAACTTGCTTGTGTTGGGTTTCATACTGGAGTATGAGAGGCATATCTAACAAACGCGTGTGCAAACTTAATTTGCAAAACTGAAAAATATACCATTTCATAAAGACAAGTCGATCCGTTATATTAAACATAAAAAAGATGCGCAGAAGTAGATTTCTTATTTGCGAATTGATCTTTCTGAAATCTTGACAGTAGCACTTTTTAATACATACAAAAATCCATTGATTATATTAAACATTTGAAAAACTGCGCAAGTATGCTCAGAAATAAATTTCGGTTTAAGACTCTGACTCTAATCTCACAGGTGGTGAGTTCAAATCCCACAACTTGCCAGTTTTTAGTGGTACAGACTACTGACTACCACGTTTCGGAGGGCATGTAAAGGTGGCAGTCGTACAAGGACCGCCCACAATGCCATAATCGTGCGAGAATACAGATCGGACAAATTGAAACTGGAAAAATTGGTCCGATAGGCATTCTAGCACGATTTGAAGCACTGTGCGCTGGTGAACCATCCTGTTGAGACCAACACTCTCTTTTTTGTGTACCATCCATTGTATTCGTAATAAAAACGCTACTCAAAACACTTTTTTACTTCTTTTTACGTGCCATATAAAAAAATAAAGTTGATGAGGTTCTCCGTTGTATTGAAAATCTCTCAACACTGTCTTGTAGAGCTCAAAAAGAGGCAATGAGAAAGTGTTTTGTTTAAATTTTTTTGTATCTGTTCAATAACATCAGAATAGATTTTTACATAAAAGTCAGGAAAATAACACATTACTGGTGAGGAAATATTGAAGTGCGAGGCCCTTTCCGAGTCAAGTAATGTCATTTTACTGACGAGTTTTGTATATAAAACCTTTGATTAATGTCAATCTGTCAGCGATGACAGGAGTCATTGTAGACATTAGAAATGTCACAAATTCGGCCGGGAAAGTGACGGTGCGGCCGGTAAAGTGACAGGTGCGGTCGGTAAAGTGACAAGCGGCAGGAAACGTAGTCTGCTCTGTCTCTGTCATGGAAGCTCAAATTTCCTGACAGAAAGTAGGCACAAACATGAAGGTTTCAAGACGATTTTGGGTTAAAAAAAACAAAATCGGAAAATTTCGGTTTTTTTTTGGCATATCTTCGGAAGAAATCGGAATTTTCCGTTTTTCTTTGCAGAATGATTTAATTGCGCTCAATAATATGACTTATGACAGGGCCACCGCCAGAAAAAATGTAGAGAGGGTCAAAAACTTTAAGTCAATTCACTATTCTAGAAATGAAATAAATTTTTAAAAAAACGTAAAATTTTCCATTACATCCCATACGATATTGTAAAATTTAAACATTTTGCCGAATTTGTTTTATCTGAAGTTATAAATCCAGGGCCAGAGGAGGTTGGCGGACACTCCCTGGCCCCCCCTTGCCGGCGGGCCTGACTTATGAGATCACATTTGATCCGAAAATCGCGAATACTCGTTAATGTCATTGTTTAAATACTCAATGGTAACGTGTTCTTCAATATTGACTGCAAACAATATAAAGTTCCAGAGATCAACAATACCCAATAGACTTCCAGATCTACATGAAGACAACCTACCAAATTTCAACCCGAAAGCATTGCGACCTGCGTTACACGCATTTAAACAGACTAGATGACGCCTCGAGAATATTCTAGGACTAAAATTTTATGTTCATTTTAGTGCCGTTTAACTGTGAACGTGCATGTATGCAACCGTGGATCACATCACGCTAAATCAAAGATTCTCTGCTTTAGCCACCTGCTGTAGGGCATTGGACCAACTCAAGGTGGATCTTGGACCTACTTATTGATTTATTTATAGCAAAGATGACACTTATCTTTATTTATCAGTTTTTATATTTTTCGTTTGGAATTTTGGTTTTCAAAGCTTTACGTGATTTTTTCAACTAATTTTCACAGCATGGGTAAAATAAATCGTTCAACGAAACCCATAAAGATGTGGATCGATGGAACTGCCTTTAGTATACCTAAGTTTGAAACAAGAACAGCCTTTAATCGTAATTTGCCAACCAATTCAGGTATATTATACATTAATTATACTGCCTTCCAAACATTAAGAATAGCTTGCTTAAATGTTTCTGTTCTGCATAGATTCTGTTGTAACAGATTTGAACCTACAGCAAGAGCATAACTTCATTTTAACAGAGATGGATAACCGTTTCACTACAAGTTTTTGCTTACCACCGTAAGTAAATGTTACAATGAGCATGGTATTAACGAAAGAGAGTTTATAGTGTTTATTATGTTGGTTTAAACAATTTCCCTTACTTAAGCCGAAGGAAAATAGAGGTAGATACACGCACCGTTATTCGCACACCACAAAGGGATGACGGCAGTATGACTATAAGCGGAGACTGTGCTGATGATGTGGTGAATGCTCGACGGACAGTACAAAGCATTGTTGCCGAAATACGTAATAAACAACCTGCTGCTCAATTTATATCGATTCCTGTAAATAGTGAAGAAGTACAAAGAAACTTTCAGCAATTTAAAGTAGAGATTATGATGATTAACTGAATATTTACACGCAGTGTTTAGGATGCAATACTGAGTGCTGGTCCTATAGAAGGTGTGGAGGACAGTGTTTTCCAATCGCCACTCAAATTACATTTAACAATTTGTGTGTTTGTTTTATTAAGTCCGTCAGAGAAAGAGGAGGCTGTCAAGGCCTTAAATGATTGCAAAACTGAAGTTTTAGAGTGAGATATTTATTTTATTCATTTATCTTTAATGGCTTGTCTCTTTATAGCACTTTCTTAAGCAGTGAAACTCCCTTAAAAGTACACGTGGCTGGAATTGATTGCATGAATGACAATCACTCGAAAGTGAACGTGTTATATGCAAATGCAAAGATTGTGCAAGATAACAATGAAGAAGTCCTGCAAAAGCTGGCTAATGCTATTTCTGATTACTTCTACAATCGTGGTAAATATGTGTAGAAATAAAACTCGCTTTAAGGGCCTGTTTTTCATGTTACTGTTAAATGTATCTGACTAATTTCTAATAGTCTAATAGGGTCCTATTACGACCTCTAAAAATGAGCCTGGAGTTTGTCTGTGGGGGAACAATAGGCGTCTAAATAGATTAGTGCCAGTGACATGTGTTTGGAGCCAGTGCCCCTGCGACAATTGCGCGAATAGCAAAAAAGCGAGACTGTTATTATCATAATTATTTAAAACAGCTAATAATTTCGCCTATTTGTAGGGCTACTGATCCAATATACTGACAATGTTAGATTACACGTAACACTTATGAATACCAAGTACAGAAGTAAATCTGCACAAAACACACCAAAAAGGTCGAGATGGCCCACAAAACGGATACCATTTAATGCTACCAGCATTATTGAGAAATATAAAGATTTTTATTTTGGAGAAAAAGTTTTGGATTCCATTCACCTTTCGTGCATGTCATCTAAGGGAGAAGATGGATTTTACGCCCCACTGTCTGTAATTAGATTTTAAGATGTGTATTTTGTGAAGTTATATGTGGGTAGTTTGATAGTTTTTGTTATTATATTTTTATATGGGCAATAAACTATAACCAAAGAGTAATTATTATATATTCTTTGCTATAACATGCTTGTTTTAGTGGCAGTTTTATTTACATCAGTTACATAAAGAATGACGTGCACATATGAGAAACAATTTTAATAGGTACTTATATTTCATATGGGTTCCAACCCCTGGTTTAAGGTTCCGTATTCAGAACCTTGGATAACTTATGGGCTGGAGAAGGTCCGGCTAATTAACAATTATGTATTTCATGTACTTTATGTAAGACATCAGAATATTTTTCAGAAATGGGAAAGGAGTGGAGTTACTTTTAAATCTATTTGAGTTGCCCATTTTAAATTAAATTTACTAGAAATATTCTATGCTCGTAGCCAGCAAAGATCAAATGTTTTATTTACAACATACTTAAATATTACAAAGACAAAACTGATCACTAGAATTGCTACAAGCAACTATTAAATAAAAAACAATATAATCGAATACATAACAAAATCCGTCATTTTAATTTACATAGTATATTGAACTATTAATCTTCACAAACTGTAATAAAACATTGTTCAATTCCCTAATTAGACATCTTTTGTTGGTTTTGTTGATGGAATTTTTCCATTCTCATCTCTAGCTCGGGCCTAAAATGTCTTATAAGTCCTTGAACTGGCCACGCAGCTCCATCGCCCAAGGCGCATATAGTGTGTCCTTCTATTTGTTTACTAAGTTCCCATAACATGTCAATTTCATCTGGTCTTGCATTCCCATCAACAAATCTGTACATCATTTTATTCATCCAACTAATTCCTAAAAACTTCATTTAAGTTTCTGCAACACAAATCTGGCCTTTACCTTCACGGCACGGTGTGCATTGCCCACATGATTCGTGCTTATAAAACATAATCAACCTAGCAATCGCCTTTACAATATCTGTCTGTTTGTTCATGACAATGATAGCTGCCGTTCCCAAACTTGTTTGACATGCAACGAGCCCATCGAAATCCATTATGGCATCGTCGCAAACACTACAATGCAATTATTTTGACGAGTGCCAAATGAAATTATCTTCACCTTTTGGGGATAAGCGGTGTTGAGGAACCACCAGGAATTATCGCTAGCAAATTGTCCCATCCGCCAGTAACACCACCGGCATGTTTTTCGATTAGTTCTCGAAGAGGTATACTCATTTCCTCCTCGACCGTACAGGGATTCACTATATGACCCGAGATGTTGAATAGTTTCGTACCCGAATTACGGGTACGCCCAAATGACGCAAACCATGCTCCTCCCCTTCTTAATATTGTCTATAAAGCATACTTTGGAGTTAACAACAGGTGGCGATACCAAACTTACAGGTGCCACAGCTACTGTTTCAACATTGGTTACAGTCGTGGGACAGCCGAATACTCCCACATCTGCGGGAAATGGTGGTTTCAGACGAGGTTTGCCTTGCTTACCTTCGAGTGATTCGATAAGGGCTGTTTCCTCCCCACAAATGTAAGCACCGGCACCTCGGTGCATAAAAACATCAAAATCGTATCCAGAACCACAAGCATTTTTTCCAAGCAGGCCAGCTTGATATGCCTAAAATCATAATTTTGTTGAGTATACATTATAAGATTGTGGTATCAGAAGTTGATAGTGACACCTTCACACCTACATTTCGATACCACAGGAAAACAATGCTGAGAAATCAACAACTTACTTCCGCAATTGCTACTTGCATATTAGAGGCTTCGTTGTAAAACTCTCCTCTGATATATATGTAAGCAGCCTTAGCACCCATAGCACTGCCCGCCAATAAACAACCTTCCACTAGTTTATGCGGATCGTGCCTCATAATATCGCGATCTTTACATGTTCCCGGTTCACCTTCGTCCGCATTAATCACTAAATATTTAGGACGTCCATCACCCGGCTTCACCATAAATGACCACTTCATACCGGACGGAAAACCGGCGCCTCCTCTCCCTCGCAGACCGGACACCTTAATTTCATCTGAAACACGGCAAAACTAATTGGCAAGTTATTACAACATGCTAACGTACTTATAATCCAGTCGGCTCCTTTACATATCATTTCCTTTGTTTTGTACCAATCTCCACGTTTGAGTGCACCTTTCAATCTCCAGTCGTGAGTGCCGTACAAATTTGTGAAGATGCGATCTTGGTCGGCAAGCGGGCCGAACTTTGTTTTGGTTTGGGCAGGCGGAGTGCCTGGGGGTGGTGTTGAGTAATGCTGCACATGACTGCAAGAAATAGGACCCAATGCACCTGGAAAAGAGGAAAATAAATAAGAATTATATAATCATAACCAACATTATTTCGGGGAGCTAGTTTTCTGTTTGCATACACAAATATTTAACAATTTTTATTCAATACAAGTAGGCTAAGTGCTTACCGATTTGATTTTTTGTTAAATAACTAAACCGTATTAAAACATTTGCCATTTTCGGTTGACATTCGTGTGTCGAACTGTCAATTGCACTGTTGAGCAGGGATTTTTTGTTTGCATATTTTGCACTAACCAGCGTTTACTGCTAATGCAGGTTTTACACACTCAAAAAAATAGATCTTGTGCGCGGGTGTGTTTTTTCACACCCAAAGTGGTGCTGCCACTTACATCAAATTGTGGTACTATATGAATTTTGAATTATAATAATTAATTTAAAGAAATATAACTATCGCATCTTATACAAAATTCTTGTCAGACTTTTCTATTGACTTATTTGTAATTTGTTTGTTGGGTAAAAATTGACGAGAGCATTTCAGTGATTTATTAATTTTTAAATGTTACAAATCTGTTGACATAATTCATTCTTCCATATTTCTACAGCTTATGAACATTTATACAGAGTGTCTCAACATTTTCTGTATCATTCAGACCGCACGAAACAATCAGCTCTGTTATGTATCAGAAACGTCAAACATAACTCCTTGACGTTATTTTACGTTATTTAGTACGTTTTCTACAGATAACCCGAATTATTGAATCTTACAGCAATGCAGTTTTATTATTATGGTAATAATCTTAATCTCAAGGTATTTGGTAGTAACTGCGACAGCATCTTTTTTATGTACTAACAGTAATTAACTGACAACAATGCTAAAGTATATTAAAAGGACTGTAGCGAACTTTCTAGAACGATATCAAGGCGCCATCAACTTGAGAAAGGATTAGACCCCGGCGATAAGGAATATAAAAGCAGATACTTATGACTTTTCGAAAATGGAAGAAAGGGACAACCGTTGTCAGTGTTGCGAGCTGCAACAGTTTTAAGAGGTGAGCAGTGTAGCGAATTTTGTACACCAACATCAGTTAAACGAGTACGCTTTTGTCACCAACGACTAACGAGTTCCCTTTGTTTGGGCGACTATACTATTATAAAGCAACTAAAGACAACTCTGTGTGATGTGTGGGATATTTGGACTGGCCACACAATATTCAAACCATGTGAATTTATTATTATAATGTTTGTTATTTTTATGTTATGTGTGTCAAATATTGATTTCTTAGGAATTTCAATGATGCCTAAGGTTGGACACTTCATAAACTTACTTGACAATTGTCCTAATACAAACAATCAATAAAATTGTGCTATACGTTTAACATTAATTTGCTGGCTGGTTTTTTTCTTGGCGGCCACTTTTTTCTCCCGCCTATTTCCATTGGTACTCGGTGAACTACGATCTTCAAAATTAAGTCTTGCAATGTAATTTATTCTGATTAAATTTCCGTATTTAAAGCATGCACTCGTTTTACGTGTGTACCTTACTTGCAATTTCATATAAATAAACATTAAAATAAATCACGTTTTAAATTTATGTTACAGGACAATATACATACAAAAAAAAGAATTTTTCTACTCATTAAATAATAGGTAGAATACTGATGCGTTTTTAATTGAGAAAGTTGTCTATTATTCAACTGTCGTATACCCAGTTTGTCATTATTCTTCAGCTCACATTGTAGGGTTGCCTTGGAAACATGTGTGCAGCAAAAATCAAGATCTCGGATCGTGATAAATTCAGTTGTCAAACATTAATGTCAGTCAAACAAATTACGAGAAATTAGTTTTGTAAAAATTACGTGAAAATGGACAGTAGTGTAATCACGATGAGCAGTACTATTAATCATCCGCAAAATACATTTTTCTTTTTGGAATTTTAAGAAACATTTCAAATAAAGAAAACAACAAAGCGTCATGGATTTGTGAATGATTGTCATTTCTATATATTTTTTATACTTGTTTGAATTTAATTCACAAATTAATGACGCAGGGGCGCAGATTAGTGACCATAATATACAGTGCTATTTATTAAGAAGTGGACATAGTGATTGACGTGTATTGTTTTTCCCTATGTCTACTTTTAAATGACCAAATCTCTGCTGAAGGGCACCTAATTTTATGCAGCCAAAATAACTTCTTAAAACAAACAAAGATCTGGCTGCCATATTAATTAATTGGAGCCTTTTTAGGCAACCCATTATCACAACGATGTCGATTGAATGCGACCAAAAGTCATAACTGACAAACAGAAAATCGATAGAGCTTGCCTCTTAGATTTCCTTTCTCTCTCACCTGCAATATCCGCGTTTAGCATTGGCACGCACAGTCCATTTATATATATGTCGATGATATCACTCGGTAAATAAATGGACGAAGGTTATGTGGGATCGCTCGCCACTGTCTCAGAAATATCGCTTATTTTTGCCTTTAATGACCCAACCCCACGAACTTATAAATTAAGATGGACTGCTGGTCAAACAGTTGCATAGAGGTAGAAATGGCCCTAGCATGGGCGCGGCCATGATGTGCAAATTTTAGTTATTTTCTAACCAATGTGGAACTTTTAACTCGATTTTGATTTGATATGAACAATATTGAACATATCAATATTGAATTTGTTAGCAAATTATATGATTTTATCTTTGCTAGACCGGAAAGTTTTAATCCCAAACTTGGTCTCCTTTGCAGTTTGTAGGTGCGCATACTTAAAAATCTGAAGTGCATTCGAATAAATATACAAAAATTTTTCAATCATTTATAGCAAAACATATTAGAAAATTGAATACATATAATAGATTAGTAATTTCTTATGAAATATTGTTAGAGTACACTTCGTCGACATACAGGACAGGTAGGTCTTGGTTGTTGGCTGCTAATCCACTTACTAACGCAGCGGTCATGAAAAATGTGTCCACAACATAGGCTTCGAGTTTTGGATATTTTTAAAGTATCTAAACAAATCGAGCACTCTCTTGGATTGTCGTTTGTTTTCCTTCGAGAACTAAAAATATAATAAGAAATAAATTGCAATATTACTTTGGGCAGTACCGCCGTCGGTCGTCGACTGAAGATACGGGTGGAACGTGATGAGGTAATTCCCCATAAACGGATTCGTCATGTGAATGCATATTGTTTGGATTATTTGCGAAATAATAATAAATTGCAGTACCTACGGCTACAACGACCATAGCTCCAAATGTTATGGTTTGCAACGGAATTGGCATTTTAAGAATATTATATAAAACAGCTTTGATGCATGTATTTAAGAAAGAGTCTCACAAAGCACTGCATCTAATGTCAGTCCACAACTGACACTTATTTCGTAATAAACATTGTTTTCCTTATTATTTCATATATTATCTTATCTTGCCTGCCCACAAAATTCGCGCAGTTACGTTTTATTCCGTTAGGTGGCACAGAATTTCAGCGCGGGAACGATACCTGAATATTATCTCCAATGAGTGAACTTATTTTCCACTGCACACTATCACTCGGTTTTTAAAAAACAAGCTTCACATTGATGTCGAATAAGTTCAGTTTGAACCGAGAGTATCGAGTATGTGAGAGAATAACTTTTGAATCAACTCGCTTTCTGAATGATTTGAATGCTACTGAACTAACGTCAATTGTTTTGGCACAAGGCTCACTGCTCAGATCAGTTGAACTTAACAAAATCAGCAGCTCGAGTGGTTAAAATAGGTACCTGGTGTTAGGTATATCGAAAGGTTCAACTGAACAGAAAAAACGAAGAAAACACCCGAAAAAGATTCTAAAGCACTAGCACTACAAATTGTGAATGGAAATTACGCAAATGTTTCTACGACGCAATGTTTACCGTTGTAACTATTATTGGATTAGCGAATGTTGCCAGCGCCGTATTGAGCCAAATACCTCCTCTTCCCACCGAACTTTATTTAGAACAAAATCAATTTGTACATTTTTTGAGTGCGCATTGGCCATACTCATACAAGCATGACGCGCAGTTGTCTTCTAGAAGCTGGAGATCTATAATGTCATTAATAAGTTTATTACCAAAAGAACAATAATAATCATGAAGTGAAGCATCTATAATCTGACCAACTGAAACTAATGAGAACAAAACAGCGTCCCTACTGGAACTGCATTTTGCGACACCCAAAACAATTTCGTGAATGACTAATACAAATTCCAAGGTTTTTCTTCTGCCTCACAAATTTCCGATGACAATTTCTTTAATCAAACAATTTCTTGGCAAGTGGTGGAGACTGACATACCTATATAGGTACACTCATCCTCAGTAGGTAGTTGATAGGGCTACGGTTGCCCGACTCTTGGAACTCCATCAGATACTTCCATTTTGATAAATGAAATTGTAACCCGTGGTTGACCGTGTCGATTATTCAAATCGTTGGTCCAATCAGCGCCAGTGGAAGCTTTTATGTCTTCATCATTCCTCTTGAACTCTAACTTAAAGTGTTAATTTTTTCTTTTCGTTTGCGTACGAAATATCAAGTCTGCTGATTTATGCAGTGCGCTACATGTATAATAGACAGCCAATTACTTCTTGATCAGGTATTTCCTTCATCTTCTTAATTTCTTATTGGGTAGAAGATGAAAACTCCTTGGACTTGGATTTTGCAAGATTTCTTGTATTTATTTATTTTTTGTTCTCTATCTCATTCCGAAAAAAATCAATATGACGTCTATAGGAAGTAAGAAAGTAGTACTTCTACATCTAGCATGTTATGGAAATTCTGAGAACAGATTCATATTTTTCGTAAAAAAGTGCCCATAGAAGGCACTAATGGGAACCGTCAATTTCCGACCCTTTAAGCTACAAACAATGAAAACGAAATTTTATACATTTTCAGTTTCTCGGTGATATCTCGGTTACCTATTTTTAAAGATAAAAAAAATTTCAAATGCGTTTTTTTAGTCAAAAAAAGGGACAACTTTGCCCTTATTTAACCTACACTGATGTATCTTTCACCGTTATGGAGGTCCCAATGGTGAGCCACGAATTTGAACCACCCCAGTATCGTATGAAAATCATTTCTTTCCATTTTGGATCAAGTTTCTGACTGTTTTCCTTTGGAATGGATAACTTCTTTGCTTCCAAAAAGCTTTCGAATGTTTCAGATTTGGTTTCCGCCCCGACCAAACTTCTTTAAGTGTTTTTCTCTTCAATCCTTTACATGGTAAACGATTCATCAAATATAACGCAGAATTC